GGTATTAGTTTCGAACGGGGACTGTTCTCAGCAGGATCTAGTTCTAGATCTAGTTCTCTAAAGTATACGCGACACTAGATCACCTACTCATTTTGAAAGAGAAAGTCGACTCCCTCCTATAGGTACATGCTAAAATTGATGATCTGTTAACCTTGAAAACGACGTTTCAAGAGCTCAAGGCGTTTGTTAATGAGTTTAAATAATCCGTTAACTCAGCACACTACGACGAATTACTGACCGACTCCGTAACATTAAAACATGAATCCAAGCCACTGAAGATTGAGGTGATCCAACTTAGAAGCACGGCATCTCAGAATACTGGTCGCATTACTCAGACGCAGGTTGCCTTAAATGAGGCTAAGCAGCATACCCGTTCGCCTAACCTTGAAATTCACGGTTTGAAAGTGACACCAAACGAAGATCTCAAAGGGATCGTAGAAGATCTTGCTGATAAGCTGGCTTTTAGCCCTTTTCAACTTTCCGACATCCTTTTCATTCACAGACTACATGTAAAGCCGGACAATGTTCCCCCTGTCTTAATCAGGTTCACAACCGCATCAGTTCGTGAGAAATGAACTATCGCCCGTGGCAGGCTTCGCGCACCCGCGGAAAGAAATGTACTGCCTAAGCTGAACTTTAATGAAAACCTAACGCAACACAACAAAAATCTCTTTTGGAAAGCTCGAACTTTCGGAAAACAAAGGAACTTCAAATTTATTTGGGTCGGAAGCAGAAAGATCTTGGCTAAGCGGTTAGAAGGAGCTACCCCCTGAAAATAAGTTGTGAATCTGATCTTGAAAGGATGAAGTAACTGCAATGACTGTACAGTTAATCGAGAGTCCCGACTGACTTCATCAAAAGTGTACTAGATTTAACCCTGGGTAATGTCTTCACAGCTTTTCATGTAAATATAGGAAGCCTCAGGAAATACTGGGAACAATTCCTGATTACTGTTGAAGATCTTGGCGATCATCTGGATGCCTTTGTTTTAATAGAAACGGATATACCTGACATAAGTTTGGACCCGTACAGAATTAGTGTTTACAATGAGATTTTTTTTAATCGCTCCTCGGGCAAGGAAGGTGGAATTGGGATCTTAATAAGGGATGATTGGACGATCACAGCGGTACCGGTTTACTTCAGTCATGCTGAAGCTAAGGCTTTCGAGCTTTGCAGGGCTGGGTTTGTAGTATCCTTGCGGGCACCATTAACATCGACTATTCTGGGGTTATCAACGCCATTGACAATCAAAACATTTCCTCAAGCTCTGGCCGACGAGCTCCTCAACTCAAAAATACAAAAAAATGCAAAGCATGCGTCATCTCTGTTTTTAACTGAGATTTTTCGTGAATCATTTTCGTCTGGTAACGTCACTCTTGACTGGCAGATTAGTCCTGTCATCACCATACATCAGTCCGGAAACCGAAATTTACCTTTAAATTACCGTCCTATATGACTGACAAGCATTTGTTCAAAAATCTTTGAGCATATTATATTTTCTAATGTCATTAAATATATCGAATCTAATAACCTTCTAACCGTAAATCAACACGGATTTAAAAAAAAATTATTATCCGAAAGCCCAACTCCTCGAATTTGTACATAACGTTCATTTTAATTTGGAATATAAACAATAAACCGACGCCATCTTCCCTGATTTTTCGAAGGCTATGAAGAGTACTTCATAACCGCCTTATAATGAAACTTCACCAATTAAAAATTAACGACTTATAATTGCTGGGATCTTTTTTTATTTCTTTCATATCAATGTCAATATACCGTTGTTAAAAACCCAGTGTAATCTAACTCTAGCGTAACATACGGCGTTCCCGAGGGAAGCGTGCTCGGACTTCTTTTTTAATCTACAGTAATGATCTCCCTCTTTGTGTTTCTTTCACAATCCACCTTTTTGCAGATGACTGCGTAATCTACTGCACCATTTCGTGCGCCAAGGACCACTCATTCCTTCAAACTGACTTGTCATCCGTTGCACATTGGTTTAATAATTGGTAGATATTACTGAACCTAGATAAATGCATTGTACTCACCTTTTCACGTCTTTCGTCACCGTCTTCTTATAACCACAGCATTAACGATATTTCACTAGATTAATCCTCATCTTATAAATATCTTGGCCTTCGCATAACCAGCGATATTACACATGGATCACGCATGTCAATCACATTGTTGCTAAGGCAGCCAGCGGACTTGGTTTTTTGCGACGGAACTTAAGACTTGCCCCCCCCCCCCCCCCCCCCGCACACACACAATATAAAGCGAATTGCATATCTATCCTTAGTACGTCCAAAACTAGAGTATGTGACATCCATATGTTCTCCGTGGCAAAGTGATCTTATTCCCCTGTCAGACGGACGCCTCAAGTGACATTTACCCCAAATGACACTCAGTGTAAATGCCATTTCGGCAGTGTCACACGGCAACTCAAAGACATTTGACTTAAATGACATTCGAGCTCAACTGAGTTCTCCCAAACTCACTTACGGCTCGTAAATGTGTAGTGTCGCCAGCAGCGGCCAGCACAAGTTTCGTGAATTGAAATAAAACTTAATAACTAATATAAATACAATTGAAAACAGTGCTCGTAGCAATTATTCTGAGAAAAAAATGCTTATGACGTGCATATCTCGCACACCTTTTGCGATCTCAGTTGCCCAGTAGGATCCCTGAACTGTCCGTTCTCTGCTCGCTCCTCTGCTCGCTCGTTTTCCTTGGTTTCTTTTGCTTTCCCATTCCTTTTGTCATTTATCATTCTCATCTTCTATTTCTTTTGTTTATATTTTATCATCGTTTTATAGTCTTTTATTTTTTGTTGTATATATATGTAATCTTTTTGTTGTACGTATATATTTTACTGTGTTTTAAGCTGTTTTAAGAGCGCGCGTGAAGTACACCCTGTCGAACCGCGCGTCGCGAGGAGCTCCCAGAAGACCTGGACGTTGATCCGGCTCTGGGAGGGCTGGATAGAAGACCCTCGACGCGCCAAGCGTAACGGAGGCGGTTACGAGGGGATTTCGGAGGAGCTGCACCGTTGCGGTATCGTGATGGTCAAGGACCAGGTCCACCACAAGATAGAAAATTTAACCAACACGTACCGGTAAGATAATTTTAAGGTTGGATGCAACCTGAGAGTAGTATGAGCCAGGGCGGAAAATAAAAATTAAGATGACTTAAATCGTGGTTTAAATCATGATTTAAATCGTGATTTAAATATCCCAGTTACATATTCCCATTAAATGCAATTGGAATTCCAATTGGTATTAACTGGAACCGATTGGTTTTAGTGGGTTCTAACTTTAAGCACACTGGCCAATGGGTTTCACCAATTGGAATTATTTTTCCAGTTGGAACCTGAATGGGTTCCAAATGGTTCCCATTGGCAGTGACCAATTGGTTGTCCAAAAAACCGATTGGTGAAAATAAGAAAATTCCAATTGGAATTTAATGGGAATTTTCAACTGAAATTAGACGGATTTTACTATGATGATTTAAATGAACCCTTTTCCGACAAGAAATATGTCCCAAAATATTTTTATTTACTGTCTATGATGTGGTTTTTTCTATATGCAATTGTATTTAAATCAAGACATCAAGCAAGAACGATTTATATCAGGCTGAACATGATTACAGTGCTCTAGTGCAAAAATCGGAGCTTTGAGCTCGATTTCTATTTTCCACTTCGGCCCGAACCACATAGGGCGTATTCTCAACGAGTTAACGCGCGTTTTAGCGGGCGTAATCGTGGCGTCTAGTGGACGTTTTTTTCGTACGAAGGAAGAGGGGAAGGTCGCCGACCCACATACGGCGCTTTCCGTCGGCGTCTCCTCGTCGTATAGCACGGTGTTGCCAACCTGTAGCTTGAAAATAAGAGAACATCAAACCCGAAACTTCATTTAAACTCAGTTATCCTTTTGTATTAACTTGTTATCTAACGCATAAATATACTTCAATGCTATTACGTGTCAACATATTTTGTCTCTCTCAGTATTGACATGCCGAATTTGTTATCATCATCATTAAATACACCACGCGCCTGCGCAGTGGCGCGCCGTTCTGCTAGTTTTGACGGTCTGCTGCTTGTCTCCTGGTACTCAGCTTTGTTCCTCGTACTTTTGTTTTTAGTTATTTCCAGTATTTTCCTTTTTCTGTCCGTTCTGCATTGTGTTTTTTTACCGGACTCCGCAAGGATGTAGCTCGAGCTACAAGTGCTTCTGCTACGAAAGAAGGTAGCGTTGCTACGATTAATGCGAGGAAAGAGGAACCGGAGCGAGCGGACCTGTTGGGTTCGCCCGATTTTTCTCAAGAGGAAGGAGGAAGGGCTCTACCACACTGCCGTAAGTAGAAGAGCTTATAAATATAGACCTTTAGTAGACTTCCGACACCCCCGAAAACGATACTGCAAACGATACGATGCATGCCAAAGGCGGTGGCGGAGATCGCTTCGATCCCACTTTAGACTGTCCGCACAAATCGGGTTCTTAAATCGTATGCTCTAGGATTTACTACGGAGGTTCCTGAAGGTGGTGGAAGCTTTCACTAAAATTGTGGAAAGATTTGCTCACCTGAGTAAATCAAGAAAAATCAAAAACTGTTTTTCCTGTACTTTACATGTACAGTTAAATAATATTTTGTGTCGCTTAGGCGCTTATTTTGGCCAACTAAAGTAGAGAATTGTAACAGTTGGGACCAGATGCCGAAGTTTCAGATCTTTCCGTTCTCTGATTTAAAACAAGTTTGCGATTTTTGTAAGCCTTCATTGAGAAAATAGACAAGGTTCCCAGTAAAAGACGCCATTCATGTCCATAATTAAAAATAATGAAAATCGGGCATCTGGTTGAAAACGTTTGCGCCACATTTGGACACAGACACTGTTCAGTGATGTAGTCTAAATTTACTGTCAGAAAAACATGGTTCTCTTTTCTCCCAAAACAAGCTGTATATTGACCAGGCAAGCTAATTACAAGGTTTTCCTTCATGCTCAAATGAAGCTGATGAGACAAGGAGACCACCAGTTCTTCAAGAAGTTTTATCGGATGAGCCCAGCTACCTTTGACAAGCTGCACGAGCTGGTGCCGGCAGATTTGCAGCGCATGCACTGCATACGTGAGCCCCTGGCATCGGAAGAGCGACTCGCCATCACTCTGAGGTATGTGTAGTTTCCTACTGAGGCGTGAATGGCAATGGTTCTTCAGAGGCAGACAGCCTGTTCTCTTGACCTAGCCTGCGGTGTCGTTTGAGCTCTTGTTTATACTCCAATGTAACAATGACGGGCGCGTGCGCCCGACCTCGTCGCGTTACGTTGCTATGAAAGGAGCTTCTATACTTCGACAACAGTCGAACGCAACGCAACGTAACGTAGCGCGCCTCGGCAACCGTCGACGAAGCTTTCGACAAGGTAGGCTCTGCTCGAATTTCGGCGGCGGCTGGTGACGGTCGTTTCCCAGAAGCCTTCACGCCAGCTCCTGTGATTGCCGTGCTCCCGTCGTTTCTCCAGTCGGGCATCGGTCGGGCGGAGTTGTGTATTCGTGTGCCTGCCGTTCGTGCTTGTGTCATGGAGTGTAGCCGCTGGTGAGTTGGATGTGCTTGTGTTTGTGCACAGTTTGCCGATGTCATTCTGTCGATTCCATTTGCTCGATGGAGTGAGCCGGCGCGTCGACGTACACCTGTCTCGGAGCCGTTAAATATGTAGGCGTAACGACACCGCGGACGCGCTTGAAGCTTTTCGACGAACATCGGCTTCCCATTTTGGCGTCATATCCGTGAGTTTTCGACGCAAAAGGCTAGTCATGAGGTTTGTGCGCAGGACATATGTTAGAAGCTGGTCGCTCCGAACCACCAACTACTTCTCTTTTGTTGATGTTGGTCGACACCATGACCGGCTAATATTGTTCTTCTTTCGCTGACCACGTATGACTTTCGTTAGGAAATAAATGTGTTTCTATGCAAGTTATCTTCGTTATTTCCTCGTTTTCAAGCATACCACAGTGCAGAAATATCAACTGCCGCGAATCGCAGCTTTTGACACATTTAACTGCTTTCATCATCACCGTCGAAGGACAGCCGGGCAGAGCTGTATCTTGCGAACGGAAGCGGAAATTCGCCACCAGCGAGACCAAACCACGCAATTGCCATGGAGACGCGCATGCGCAATGTGAAGCAATTCGTTGGAGCGCTTTGAACGACGCCAGACTATAAACACGGTTGACAATTCCTTTCCCAACGCGGCGTGGCGAAGTGGACGACGAACGTCGTTTCACGTCGTCGGACGTTAGGTTTGTAGACGTCGGAGCATAAACATACTCAATGCAAGTAGAAAACTACTTTTCCCCCATGTCGGGATTATGAATTTGCTTTTTTCTAACCACAGAAGTGTGCTATAGCAGTAGCATTGCGATTTGCTTTGAATATTAATGATATGAATTACAAAGAAGACCTAAAAATTATGTGCATTAACTGCATCCTGTAATTGAATATGTTCTTTACTTCAGCTACCTCGCATCCGGTCAAGATGTGAAGGACGTGGCCTTGGCGTACAGGGTCGGGCTGGAAACAGCTCGGCTGGCTGTTCACGAGACCTGCCGCGCCCTCTGGGCCAGACTGTGCCCCATTTACATGAAGGTGAGCACTTTATTTTTAATACTGGTTGTATGATGTGACAAATTTAATTTGTTAGGAGATGTCCATAGGTGTAGACTACGGGGGGGGGGGGGGGGGGGCATTGGGGCTCGTGCCCCCCTTGGTGAAATCGGGGGGACAGAGCCCCTCAAGGGGCCCGGGCCGTGATCCTTACCAAGACGCTGTTTACGTGCCATGTAACGAGCTTCTAGTAGCAGCATGTGAACAAAATAACACCCACGTTGCCTTTATTGACAAAATACATGGGAAATGGAATTCCAGCGTGCTTTCGTCAGCTTCCAGTTCTGGCGAGAAGGGAACGCGCAACACCCCTCCCCCCCCCCCCCCTCCCCCCCCAAGGAGAACTCAGCCTGCCCCTCCCGGGAAAATGGAAAGTCTACGCCGCTGGAGGTGTCCATAACCTACAGACTCTGATCTGTAGGCTATTCGCGACTCCAGCGACCTATAGGGGGCGCCACCACCGAACAAACATGGCGGCTGAGTCCAGGTCGCGTCGGCTCGGCCGGGCCGCCTGAACAGGTGGCGCGTTCAATTTAACAGATTTTTTTTTTGTTTAATGCCCAATTTTATAGCTATTTGAACTGAGACGGTGAAGTGTAGCCGGTGCACATAAACTCGCAGAGCATAGTTTTGTTTTCCCGGTGTTTTTTGTTATTTTCATGTCAAACTGTCGTTTCGGAGATTTCCTTCAAAACCGAAACCATATGGGCTCTGGAGAGTCGGTAATATACTAATCAGTTTTGATCATCTAAGAAAAGCGGCAATGACCGCAGAATTTTTCCGCCGACAGTAATTTTCAGCCAACTAGCATGCCTCGACCATCCGACTAATCTGTCCGCGAAATCGAGCTTTCGTGCGTATCCGCGTTTAAGAAACAGCTCCAGTCGTCTGCTCGGTCAACAGCACAGGCTGCAGGAAAATTACGAAAATTAAGCAGCGCTTCTTGAGCCAAGGATCATGTTAACCCTCCGGCACCCCACTAAATAGCTGATACTCGTATTTCAATTCAGGTTTTAGTAGTAATCGAGGAATCATTTAGACGAGCGGGTATGTATTATATTACGTACTATGGGGGTCCCACTAAAGCGGTATTAGTATATTCTTCGGGTTGAAATATGAGCTTAGTTGACTAGCTATTAGGTGAACTGCTGAATAAAAGTATATTTGACAGACAGAGAGATACTACTTAAACTTAGCCAAATAGTTCTAACCGGCAGCACGGAGACAAACTGAAGAGAGTCTTCACTGGAGTTCACGCAGAACCTCTCCGCATTGAACTTTGCTTTGGATCCTGAACGGAGAAAATAAGTATTTCTTGTGGCGGGTCAACCTGAGCAATGTAGACATATATTGCTGCTGACTTCGACGGAGGTATAATATAAATATTGGAGGCGCGATAGATCAAAATGCCGTAACAGCTTCTAACGCTGCGAGACGCGTCCCCCACCTTTTGAAAACAGAAAATTTCCGTCATTTTTCATTTGCAGCGAGCAAGTTTTTCTGAATCAAGTAATTGCGAAATCAGCCCAACTCTTTCAGAGTGGTCCAGAGGCTTTTTCGACGAAAAGCAGTCAAGATGAATAGCCAACGCACCGACCGGCGTGGGTGGCTCAAACTTGAAGCTAATCGAACACAACCGAACTGAAGAAAAGCAGCTATCGAACCTTCCCATTCACTTGACTGCAGCATTGGTGTTCCCTTCAGTGTAATGCCTCGCCTGTCGTCCTCCCACTGTTCTACATCCTTACAAAGAAGCCCCTTATCAGTTGCCAAGTAGTCGTCACTTTGAATGTGATTCGAGAAAGACAAGAAATCAAAACGTTTTTCCGCGATTCCTCCCCATCCAAGAAATCGAAAGCACGCGACCGTGTGTTGCGGAGTAAACGGGCTTTCAAACACGTGATGGAAGGAAACAATCTACTGAGGCTTCACCACACTAATGAACACTCAGGCAAACTTAAGACATTTTCGGACCTTTGTGAAATTACACTTTTCGCCATCGCGCCGACAACACTTGCCCGCGAAAGGCACAAGAGACGCGGAGGGGCGCGGAGCGACCTGGACCGGCTGGTTCCCGGTTTTCCCGCTTGGTGGCGTCCGTTTTGCTGGAGTCGCGAATAGGCAAATTGTAGTTCACATGCCATCCACACATTGCCTCCCGTGAGTCCTGGCAAGCACCTCGGTGCACTACTGCACTGTTGCCCCTCATCTTGCCTTGCAATGCTGCTTTCAAGGCAGACCTACAGAATTATCTGCCACGAGGAAAACCCTTTTCCTGTAGGCTTCTCTTGATTCCCTTTCACACTTCTCTCTCTTCTCCCGGTAGGATCGTGTTTCTTATGGTGAATTCCACTCGTAGATCCGGAGCGCTTTCCGAAATCCGCAAGGGAGGCAAAATTTCGCTCCGTGAAACCCGCTACGAATCGACAAGGGGAAGATAAACTTGCATTTTTGGAGCGACCTCCCCCACCCCCCTCCCCACCGCTTCCCCCTCCGCCGTTCAAAATGGCCGCTGCTCAAACTTGACAAGCCCACCAACGCTTCAGCCGACTGATCTTTACAACGACCAGTGACGACTGTGACTGCTTAGTTGCAGAAATAACACGCGACATAGACCGGGCGAAAATATACGTACACGGCGCCCACGTCACAAATAACAAAGGCGTCCGCGTTCGGCGCCGTCACAAACCTTTCGGCTGCCTCGGAGCGGCGGGGCACGGACAGCGATTGCCAGCGGTGGAATTAAGATTTCTGGTACGACTTTAATAAACACAGAGGTAACAAACCATCACTTGCACGGTTGTTGCCTAATCACTTCTTGCTTTATTTTACTGGAAAACGCCGGCGGAATCCAGTCTAAAAAGGTAAACAATTATTGGCTGTAGAATGAACGGGCTTAACCTTGCGTCTCCTTCCGGCTTTTTTGGCGATCTTCCTTTCACGATCACAGATGTCAGCCCTTACGATTTACCACGCTCCACAGTCCCGGCTTTGTATCCCTGATCTACGCGAGGTAGAAGCGTTCGAGCTGTCACAATCCCGCGTAAACAACCGACGCACCCACACAAATCCAACTCTATGACCTGACCGGTCCGGCCCGCCGGTGCCGCCGACCTCTCCAACCTCGCCGCGCATGCGCACTGCCGATTTAGACGGAAATCACGTGGGCCACTCTGTCAACTTCTGCAGAGATCTGTGAAATCCCGCAGAGCAAGTTCGGTGGGGTTTGATGCGCTCCGTGGAGCGGGCGCTGCCAGAGATCTACGAGCGGAAGATGACCAACTCGAGCCAGATCTGCGAGCAGAATATGCGCGCTCCAAATGGGAGCGCTTTTGGAGCACTCGAGACCTGCGAGCGGAATTTACCATTCGCTAGTCCTCGCAAAAAGCAGGAAAGTGTTTTTGTTTATCAAGTGGAAAACGGGAATTGAGGGGTGGTTTTTTGGTTTCTGGCTCCATATCTCACTGTGAGACAGTTTCTCCACATGTTTTGTTGCTCTGCATACACCCCCAAAATTCACACAACTATAACAGTTCATCTGGAACACCGAATCTAGCACATCAGAACGTTTGGAAAATTGGTGCACAAAGTCTTGTCATCCGGCCATCAGTTGGTTTTGTTTTCGTAATCCCTGGCGACGTGTCAGTACAGAAACCTTAAGCCTGCATACAACTAGCCACTTAATGGCTATGGAACGGTCAAAAAAGCGATCATGTGCAGTGCGCCCTTATGCACCTTGGTAGGTTGAAGCTCTGGGACAGAGTGTGGTGAGAGTGGTGACAAAGGCATGTAGTGAAAAGGTACCTATCCTCTTTAATCAAGGCGGAGCCTGAAGGTTTGTGGCTTCAGGAAGACAAAGCTCTCCCTTTGTGTCTACTCTACACACCAACTCAACTATCTTACGTCATGCCGCAGCAGTCGTGCTTGGGGCGCACTTCCAGTTCAAGGTGTGAGCAGAAAATTGCATGCGGGCCGGGCATTGCTATGTTTTCTTGTTAGAAACTTTCCTTCCCAAGGTTTTGCGGTATTGTGTAGACTGGGGCTGCAGTGCCAGTCTTGTACACGTTACTAAAAAAAAGTAATTGATTACAATTACTATTACTCTTGGCTAAAAAGTATTCGATTAGATTACTTGATTACTCGACGGCAAAAGTAATTGGACATTACTTAAAGAAGTAATCGTTACTTTTCCGATTACTTTATTGTGTGAAGACACATCTGTAGCGCTCATAACAATGAACTACTTCCAACTTATAATTCACATTTGCACAAGTATTGAAGAAGAAAAACTGGCTCCCTCTTCGTGGTCGTTGCACCTTCACAATGCGGACACAAGCATAGAATTCGTTTGAAGTTTAATGATTTGGGCGTTCGCCAGTGTGTGTGTGTGTGGGGGGGGGGGGGGGGGGGGGGAGGGGGGGGGAAGCGGAGGGGGTTCTAGATCTTCTTAAGCTTGAGCAAGGTTTGTCGCTCAAAGTTTGCGTCACTCATTTATTATTCACATGTGAATGAGCTCAGCTGCTCCAGGTTTTGGAACGGATCATGTGTAGTACCCATTAGCAGAAGAGATCGCCCCGACCACTTCTCAACTCGAAACATTGCTTGTCACAAAGACCACGTAGGGGAAATGGGGAAATATTTCAACTGCCTTTGTTATATTTTTGCATCCGCTTTAGGCATTCTTCGGTTCTGGTTCCCCTACGGGCTGTGAGTAGGTATTCTAAGCAGGATTTTTTTATTTTTTATTTCTGCGTGTGTGTGCCTGAGGGGGCTAGTTTGAACGAAGGACTCACAAAGCTACAATCTGCTTCTTCAAACTTCGCCCTGAATGGCCTTTGTCACGCACTGTGGCTTTCCTGAGGCTTCCCACTCCCAGTCCAAGCTCGAAAAAAAAAAAAAAAAAAAAAACGGAGATTTCACAGAAACTGTACATAGAAAGAGATTGACCTCGTTTCCTACATCTCCGCAAAAATCTTTCTTTATTCCGTTCGAAAAAAAAAAAAAAGCAAATTTTATTTTTGTCATTCCATAAAAAAATGGCGCGTTTCGGGGGGGGGGGGGGGGGGGGGGGGGGGTCCCGTGGACAAATTGTAACGGTTACAAGTAATTTTATTACTTCAAAAAGTAATCATATTACTCTTGTGATTACTGCCTAATAAAAGTAATCAACTGATTACAAAATTACTCCAAAAAGTAATCGATTACAAGTAATTTGATTACTTGCAATGCGTACGGTACAAGTCTGGGCTGCACTGAAAGATCTGGGAAAGGCGTCATGATCAGTTTTCATGTCTCCTGCCTACCCGATCTTACCGAGAATGTTGATAGATGCCGTGAAAAAAGAAAACAAGTCGCCATCAGACCATCATCGCCTGCGCAGCATGCACTTAAAGTGAATTAAAGGAGTCTTCTTGTCATAACATTTGATTGTATTGTTCCAACATTAACTCGGGAGCACCACCATGTGGTCCGACCCACCCGGTTCACGTTCAGTGCATCTTCACATTCAAACAGCTGTCTGCGTGTTAAACAGCAGTCGTCACATTTGACCGACTATTGCCTCCAGACCTTGTCAAGGCTATCCATGTCGTCGACATAGTAATTAGGCTTCAAAAAAATTATAGCCATCTAAAATCTTGTAAACTAAAAGGGTGTATGGGGTAAATCTGCTCGGTGTTGTAAACATTAATACAAGGTGATGTGACAGTTGTAACCGGTAGTGATAGTGGACTGGTAACAGTAGGATTGAATTCATAACGTCAGAGCCTGCCATACAAGTATTGTAACACACTTCCACTGCCAATTCCTCTTCCACCCCCAATAATAGTGAAGAAAATTTGTTTTGTTGGTAAGCCATAGCCTGATTTGTAAATTTATAAATAAATGTTGTCTATTATACAGCCCCCCACGGAGGCTGAATGGGTCGAAGTGGGAAACGGCTTCTCGCGGAGGTGGCAGTTCCCCAACTGCCTTGGAGCAGTGGACGGGAAGCACGTTGCGATAACCTGCCCCAAGGACTCTGGCAGCACCTATAACAACTACAAGGTATGTCTCTAGTCCTTGTCACCATGTCTTAGATATAGCTTGGTGGTTTGTAAATGATCAGAATCCAGGCTTGACAGTTGTGCTGTGAATTTTCTATAGCTTTTATGAAATCCTTATGCAGATTATACCACGTGGGTACATGCTTTTTGACCCCTGGGACCACTGTTATAGCCTGTTCAGCTTAGAATGGATTACAGCCGGTGCTGCAAGTCACCGAAGTCAATACAGAGTTCAAGCTTGCCATGTGACCTTCTAACTGGCTAAAGGGATACACGCCTAGTGAATTAAGGCACCTCACATACACAGACCACTTGATTGGCTAAAGTGGTTATAGTTTTACTGCAATCCATCTTATCGTGAAACGGATTATAGTGAATAATGCTTCGCAAAATTAATGTAAGATAACAAAGAATCAACATGAAACTGAAGGTGACCACAAACCTGTAGCAATTCTAACGGCCCAAATTTTGTGTAGTTTGTGTAAAAGTAACAGGAAATTTGCTGAGGAATGCCTAAAGCCACAACCACATGGCATTCTTCATGCAATGTGCCGATGTCTGTCCCGGCCAGATTTCGGTGTCGGCACCGGAAGTGGCTTGCTGTGCAGAGACTAATTGGAGATTGGTGCATGGCAGAAGTAAGGCTAAGTACAACTGCTGGAACTTCCGAGTCAGTCTCTGTGTGGCCTATGCAGCAAGCTATGAATGTTTTGAGATTGAGGGTACAGCTTCTGTACTGCAACATTAAACCTAAAAGCTTGTAAGTACTAAAGAACCTTTCTTGTCCAGCACCAGTACACTGCCTTATCTCACATCAGGTGCATGCTAATGCTGAGACATTGACACTGGTGAAGCACATAAAAAACAGTCCGTGTAGTTGGGGCCTAAGACGTTTTGCATGTGTATCTGTTTTTGTTTTATAGAACAAATATATAAATAAATTTGAAGCATGCATTGTCTACTCACATTCTTAGTGAGGTTGCGATATAGCAGTCTATTAAGAAAATTGCAACTGCCGGAAAAGTTTTCAGAAGAATAGCATTTAGCATAGACGGCATGAATACAACAGTGCTTTCTTCCATGTTTTGCTTTTTATGAATATAACAAAATGGGCACAAATGCAGGATGTACTTAAGGGCTGAAATTTAGTATAATTTGTCCTATACTTTGCTTCAGCTGAAGTCCAGACGCAGCAGATGCTACAAGCGCGAGCATGTGGCCCTCAACAGTGCTTGTACCGCACGAGCGCGCGTGCTTGGCAGCGACGCTGAAAGCATGGAGCTCGCACTTGTAGCTTCTGTTAAAGGTTTGAAACCACGCTTTAGAGTTAATTGGTGCACGAGTTGGCATTGGAATAAGAAATACTAAAGGAATGGTTAACTTGATGATATCTGAAAATGATTGTGGCACTGCAGCTGCAAATAATGATGAATGTATAAACATTATTCAGTTGACCATCTCCAAGCTGAAGTTAGGCAAACATGTGATACTTTGTGTAATGTTATCATGAGCAGTTTTGTTAACCACAACACCTCTCTTTTTAGCACACCTTCTCCATAGTGCTGATGGCGGTCGTCGATAGTGGCTACCGCTTCGTTTTAATCGACGTTGGGGCCGAGGGACGGCAGAGCGATGGGGGAGTCTTCAAGTCATCCGATTTTGGGCAAGCCCTCGAGAACGGCACCCTCAACCTCCCCGACCTGGGCAAGCTCCCCCGGTGCCAGGATCCTCGACTGGCCCCTCACGTCTTCGTCGGGGACGAAGCGTTTTAGCTGAGGCCCGATTTTCTGCGGCCATATCCCGCCAAGGACCTGACCGGGGAGAAGCGGGTGTTCAACTACAGGCTCAGCCGAGGAAGGTATGCCCAGATAACTAGTTCGCTAGCTTACATTACATGTAGCAACAACTGTGACGACATGAATTACAAAATCTGTCCACATTCATTGTTCCACCCCACAGAAGGTGCACTGAAAATGCCTTCGGCATAATGGCGGCTTGGTGGAGGATCCTCTTGCGGACAATCAACCTGATTCTACAAAATGTGGATTACGTCGTCAAGGCCACGTGCGTGTTGCATAACTACCTGTTGGAACACCGCGAGCATCCCGAAGGCTATGCAGATAAGGACGATTGTTTCGGGAACACCACAGAAGGGTCCTGGAGAGCGGAAACGTCGGAGGCTTCGAAGAAGCTACTCTTCTCGATGCAGCCGAAATTTTCTCGCAATTTCTCAGATGAGGCTGGGGCAGCTAGAGAAGTATACACCCACTACTTCTCTAGTCAACCAGGGGAGGTTAAGTGGCAGTGGAAGTTGCCTGGTGTAGACAAAGAAAAAATCCAAAGAGGTCTCGTGAAGAAAGGTGCAATGATGAAGTAAAGCCATGTTCCAGATTTGGTGAAAGAATCGTTAAGAGCTCCAGTGATGAAAGTGGCATTCAACCTTTTGTAGCAGGTTCTGTAGCAGACTTTTTTCCTTGCCTCCTACTTTAGTAATTAATAACTAAGCAATAAACTTTTTCTTTTTTGCTTTGCTTATTTTTGTGCAGGTGTGGCGAAATTCTTAGCAAAAATGTCACTGCAGCGCAAGATGTAGCAGACTTTCGATTATGGCGCAAAAGGGCGCAGCACTTCCATCACTGGAACTCTTTCGAAGTCCTAACTGGAGTGACTCATTAAACCTGCACCAATTTCTTTTGTTGTACTACTTTGCCCAAGTTGTCCAGTATAGTTGACACCAGGCAGATTCCACTGTGCAAGCATCGACGCAAATCTTGTTTTACAACTGTTTTAGCTAGAGATTGACGATTTTGGTGTGCTCAGCATTGTGAAACGAAACCTATATTAAACTTTTTTTTGCCTCTTAAAGTCAATTTATTTTTGCACCTGTAACATTTCTTACTTTTGTTAGCTGCATTTCCAGGTATTATTAAAGCTGTTGAATGTGTGAACAAAAGGTAAGGGCGCAAACGAGCTGGTGGTGGTTAAACATTTCGACAAAAACCCCGAGACTGGGACAAAAAGGGACGGACAAACACAAAGTCTCAAACACAGCTGAATTTTATTTGACAACGGAGGGTGCTTATATAGGCGTCAAATCCTACACAAATCAAAAGAGACGAAGGAAAGAGAGGGAGAAACCTTCACAAACAAAAGAGACTTTGTGTTTGTCCGTCCCTTTTTGTCCCAGTCTCGGGGTTTTTGTCGAACTGTTGAATGTATTTTTAGTGAGTTCTGTATAGTTTGCAGTCTTTGCTCCAGTTGCAAGACTTTGCCCTCGGAACTGGACCATGTCTTGTCCTTTCTAGTTTTAAGGATCCTCCTGTTTGTTCTGTAAAATAAAGAAAATTCTGTGCTTCACTTTCTTTATTGTTATTATAATGGTAAAAGTAGACAAGCAAACAGCCACCAAAATGCAGCTTGCTAAGACCTTACCCCCCCTCCCCCCCCCCCCCGCCCCCCCCCCCCCCAACGAAAAAAAACATAACCATATTTTCGCGGTCACCAGGACGAGTTCCTTTCCCGAAAGCGGGAAAACAAGAAGCGAAACCTCCTCGCCTGTCAGCAGTGATCCGCATCCGAGCGGGGGGAACGGAAAAGGTCCCCTCGGGAGAGAGTGAGGAGGAGAGCCCCCCAAGCCAGGCGGCCCTCCTATGCTTCACGGACAGGTCGGAGCTCACGGCGAAGGAGGCCGAGTGTTCCGACCCGCGGCCGTTATCGCAACCATCACGGAAGGGAGATCACAGGAATCCCCACACCGTAAGCACAATATAGCCAGTAATAATGGGTTTACCCCTTTATTCTGAGAATGTTCCAGAAAATTGTTTGTTACACAGAGGGTTGCACATACATCAATACCTTTGCAATAAAGTTGCCACTCATGCAATTCCATTTTTCAGAAAACATCTGAGGGAGGGGACCACCACGGGGTCCGGCGCGTTGAAGTGACCGTTCTTCTGGGACCTTAACCGACTGTTGGGGTCCCTTACCCTGAATGACACGGCCCTGATGGATGAGAGCTTGGCAACCAACCATTGCACACCGTCACTAGTGGAGGTAGGTTTGGTGGTTTCTCTCATAGAAAAGTTTGGGCATTTGTGGAAAACAAATCATTTCAATGTGAAAGTGGTAGCCAGTGGCAAATGCATTAAATTTCACACCGAGCAGAGTCCACCGAGCTACTGGAGGTGCTCCTATGCTTTGGCTGCTTTTTCGACAAGCCGGTGCAAAGCGACGAAACTTTGCACGCGTGCCACGGTGCGATGCGGTAAAGCTTCAGCTCCAGTAGTACATTGTGGCTGTTTTAAAAATTCGAGGTTCTGCCAGACTACGGCTATACTGTATAAAAGGTGCATACTATAGATAAGGCGCCTACCCTACCTTGGGCACTTCCTGTTTTTCTGCTCTCGGACGTGACAATCGTCCTTTTTGATGTTTTTGCAAATATCTTCAACTGTTTTGCTCAATATTTTATGCTACACTCCTTTTCATTCATAGTGTACAATGCTGTCAAAGGTGCTGGCACGAGAGCTTGGCTATATGGATTATGTAATTTGTACAAAAGCATGCCCAAATGAATCGCTAATAGAAGTCCCGTACTTGTACCAGTATCCTTAGGAGCGTTGAATACTGTCTCTGAAACGGAGTAAAGAGCTATAGCAGGTTTGCACCCTGATGCATAAAACTACGCTAGTAAAACCTTGCATCTTGATTCTCAGCTACAAAGGTTGGAGTTCCGTTACTTTTGAACATTCATTGTATAATGACTTTGGGTGGCACGTAACAGATTGCTGCAGTCTCTTGTCGCTTAAAAGGAAAAAAATACTTGTGTGGTTTGCCCCTCAGTTGCACTCAGACATGCAAGAGAAAAACATGGTCGACACGACACGGACTACTTCGAAGAGCACATGGAAGAACCAGGAGAGGAGCAGCATGGCGAGGAAAGCCAAGTTGCCAGCACCCCCGCCACTGCAAGTGTCAGGAAACGGGACTCAGCAGCATCAATGGCACAAGCAA